AAGTGCAAATTTCGTGGCAGGCGCAGTACTTTGTGGACCTTGAAGTGTAGATTTCGTGGCAGGTGCAGTACGCGTTTGCTCCCACATTTGGGCATGGCGGCTTGTGGGGACAACCACTTGTACATTTGAGCCCTTCGGCCATGCGAGGGCCCAGACAGCCGCCTACAACAAGCACAGGCGATTTACATTGGGACAAATTTGCACCGGAACCGCCACGCCATGTGTTACATCCTTCCATGCTGTGTTGTCCGGCGCCCTGCCGCCGGAGATGTCTCGATGTCGAAGAGCCACAAGCACCAGAGGCTGCCACTGCTTGCTGCCACTGCTTTGACCCTTTTCAATTCAGACAGCTGCCCGCCTTCCTTGATTTTTGTGTGCTCCTTCTGACAGGCGCCATGGTGCACTTGGTGTGCGAGAAGCTATGGAGCTTCCTGGTGTCTCTGGAGCTTGGGTTTGGGAGTGGGAAGGAAGGAAGGAAGCAAGCAAGCAAGAAAGCAAGGAAGAACGCAATACTACTTCCATGTCGTACATGCTTCCAGCAAGAAGTGCAGCAGAAGCCCTGCACTCCTCTTTCTATGGTGTTCCGAAGGCAACGTTAGACCCTGGCAGCTTGCTGCTCCGTTGAAACCTCCAGGGCAGGGTGTTTCGGTGTGGCGAGACCGAGGGCGCACTACTTTGTGGACCTTGAAGTGCAAATTTCTTGGGAGGCGCAGTAGTTTGTGGACCTTCGTCCTTTGCTTGAAGTGCAAAGTTTTCGTGGCAGGTGCAGTACTTTGTGGAGCTTGAAGTGCAGATTTCGTGGCAGGCGCAGTAGTTTGTCATCCGGCGTATCGTGTTGGCCATGGTGGCCCAGTTGCGGGTCCCCGATGAATCAGCAGAGTTCGCAGGCGTGGACGGAGCTGTGGATGGAAGGAAAAGGGCGCGAGACGGGAGGTGCATGGGTGTGGACGGGTGTGTGGATGGAAGGAAAGGGACGCGAGACGGGAGGCGCGTGGGGAGGTGCATGCGTGTGGATGGGGCTGTGGATGGAAGGAAAGGGGCGCGAGACGGGAGGCGCGAGGGTGTAGATGGGGCTGGGGGGAGGGGACGGAGCTGGGGAAGGAAGGGAGGGAAGAGGGAGGGGCGCGAGACGGGAAGTGCATGGGTGTGACGGGGCGGGAGGTGCATGGGTGTGGTAGCCAATGCATCATCTGACGTTGTACAGAAATTGACCCGCCGTAGGCTCGGAAAACATCTTTTGAAGGGAAGTGGAAAGCCACAATCTATTTGAACATCGTCTTTGTAGGTGGCCATGCTATCCATATTCATCTGGAGGGGTTCGTCAGAGTGTGCCCATGCTTGTTTGAGCCCCGAGCTTCTCGGGCCGAAGCCTGATCATCTTCGTGAAGTACCATCCGTAGATTCTACACATCACATCAAACCTGTTACCCTTGAACACATACATTGCAAAAAAACAGCCCAAAACCACAGCTAGCAACCCCAACAGCCTTGTCAACATACAAAAAATCGTGCGCATCACTTGCAAACAAGGTGGGAAATATTATTGTCTCTGACTTAGAAAAACACAGACGCCCACATGCGTCGTAGAGTGTTTAAAGGTGCAGTGCTTCTGTGCGTTTGCCTCCACACTCGCATGCAGAACCTGTTTCACCGTTTAACACCGTTTATTCCGTTTCGTCTACACCGTCTACACTGTTTCGTCTACACCGTCTAGACCGTTTACCCTTCGTACACCGTTACACCGTTTTCACCGCTACACTGTTTTCGCAGCAATACACCGTTCACACCGCTACACCGTTTTCGCAGTTAACGCCGTTACACCGTCTACGCCGTTTACACCGTCCGTCTACACAATTTACACCGGTTACACCGTCTACACCGTTACACCGGTTACACCGCTACGCAAGAAAATGACAAGGCGACTGCGGCAGCCAAGAGCGAAATCGGGAACAGAGACAAGCTTGGGAAACACGGCGGCAGCGGCAGCCAAGAGCGAAATCCTGAAGGGAGACAAGCTTGGGAGCTTGGGAGACCAGGCGGCAGCGGCAGCCAAGAGCGAAGTTATGAAGGGAGACCAGTGGAAACCGCATGGCCAGCGTATCCAGCGTAAACAGCGTAATCAGCGTAACCAGCGTAATCAGTATAGTCAGCGTAACCAGCGTGAACGGCGTGCCCAGCGTAAACAGCATAACCAGCGTAAACCGCGTAATCAGCGTAACCAGTGTAATCAGCGTAAACAACATAGTAACCAGCGTAAAGAGCGTTTCAGCGTAAACAGCGTAACCAGTGTAAACAGCGTCATCAGCGTAACCAGCGCAGCCAGCCACCGCCAGCGTACCAGCGCATTCGCGGACGCGCTCTGCCATGTTGCTCCGCAATTGGGTTCCAGCTGCGCGAAACTGTATGCGCCCTTGGCAGCTTAAGCTCGCCAGCTCGTATTGACATATACAGCTGCGTGTAGCAAGGCCCAAATGATTTTTCACTTACATGTTAAACGTTAAAATCAATGAGCTAGAAACCCAGGACTACAGCGCAACACCCGCAACGAAGCCACCCTTTGGTGTGTCGCCTTCGGGATTTCCCAGCGTGCAATAGCTTCGTCCATCACACCGCTTCGGTGTTCCGTTGCTGTTCGGATCTGTCGCGATCGGGGGAGCTGACTGGCCGTATATATATATATATATATATATTTGAACAATCACGGCACCCTGCTCTTTACTGCTCTCTGCAGAAGACCGGTGGGGTGGGATGTGGCTAACCTGGACCCGTAGCATGCAGAGCAACTGCTTGAGAGTGCTTCCCATCCCCCTGAAGACACTGGCAAAACGTCCAGCTGCATTTCACTTGAAGCAATGAAACGGTCAGTGCCGAGGTTTCAACATGCACACACACAGACAGACGCGACGCGCTGTTCGCCTTCCGCGTCTCCCGCGTCTCCCAAACGCCAAAAAGACAACCGGAGACCCGCAGATCTCCGGTGGCACTGGGAGGTCTGACCTGTATCCTCGTGTCCGTGCAGTGTTCTTAGCTGTTCCTTGGTGGCCGAAAAAGGAGGCTGAGGGGGATGAAGATGGGTTCCAAGGTTCATTGTGGGTGTTTTTTTTCCATTGTGATTTCGAGTCTTCTTGGGCGCAGATGGTCATGCTTTTCCCCACTACTTACTTAGTTGTGGTGCCTGCATGTTCGGTGCTTATGGATTGGAGATGTAATAGAATTGGTAAACACAAGACAACACAACAAATTTTATAATGCGGAGAAGTAAGACGCTGTGCTTTAATTTCCGTTTTTTGATGAGAAGAACTGTTTATTTTTGTGGACTTGGCTCATCATTGTCGGAGAACAAATACTTTGATGTGTTGGGCGTGGCACACTCTGACCGTTTTGTTCATTTTTGGACTTCAGACACCGAGATAGATAAGCGAGGACGGTCGGGTTTCCCAATCTTCTGGTACTAGTAGCTTCTTGTTACTAGTAGTAATGCCGTAATGCGCTTGTTACTAGTAGCGATGCCCTTGCTACTAGTAGCTTCTTGTTTGTTTCCGAATTTTCTTCACAATTTGTCCTGAATCAGTGGCCTAGCACATGCTAGCACATGCTAGCGAGGACGGTCTGTGCGTTTGGGCTGAGGCAGTGCTGGTGGGTGACTGCGTGGTGGGCGCCAGCAACATGTACCCTCCGCCCCAGAAGCCACATTCGGCCAGTGGAGAGCGCTACGAGCCCCGTGGCGGCGTTGGCGGGCGGAATTCGTTTCGGCAGACTCCAAGACAAGATGTGGATGTGGGTCCAAACCGGTGGACCGTGGTTGACCGTGGTTCCATGAACAGCGGGTGGGACCCATGGAACCACGTTCGCCCATGTATTTTATTCAGGAACAAGGGAATTCCAGTTGAGTTCCAAACCAGGACCCTCCCTTCCCAGGCTGCCAAACAGGCGGCGAACGAAGGCACCGGGCACCGGAGGGGTGTCCCCTCGCCACAACACCCCAGCCTGGGTCGGGTCGCCCCATGGAGGCCGAACGTGACCCCGGTCGCTTGGAACTTGCTTCCACAAGACCACGGTAGCCTTCAAAGACCATTCTTCGGTTGACCTGGTTTCGTAGTCTAAAATCCCTAGTCAACTTGGTAAAACAATGGTTGTTGTGGATTCAGACCATATCCAAATCCTGGGGATATCCATTGCTTTATTCTCTCTTAAGGCTTGAAGAGTTGCATTTGAAGTTCTTTCCCTCCAACCTCGCGGGGGACCAGTTCCAGCCTTCGTTGACGCCTGAAAGGCCGCTCGTCGTTGATCCAACACCTGCTGCTCAGGAATGCATGCGACCGACTTCCCAATCCGAGCATTTTTGTGACCTTCAAGGCGTGCGCCGTCGCTGAAAAAAACACGGCGCGCTGAAAACGTCGTTGTTTTCGGCCACGTTTGCCGCGGGAGTTCCATGGGGCATCCCACCCTGTGGGGTGCATCCGATCCCAATGATCCATCGTGGTGAGTTGAAAGCAGGAAACAAGAAGTAGGGTACACATATCTATCGCTTCTCTAAGGTAGACTCTTGATTAATAACCCTCCCCATACGAAGAGGGTTTTCAATTCAAATGGGGGGGTTATTAATCAAGAGTCTACATAACTGGCACAGAGAAAAGCACCCTGCACCCCTGTATGATTGGCAGAGAAAAGCACCTCCTGACCTGCATACATCACTCACATTGTGGTCCGAACTGGAGCCTTTCTGCAGGACCACCAAGCTTTGCCTCTCTACATCATGTTATATGAGTGACTGAGCCAATGAACTACGCCATCCGATGCCCTCTTCAAGCCGTCTTTGTGCCGCTGTTCTCTCAACGGCACGGCTTTACCACGACTGGATTGGGAATGAAACCATTCCCTTGAGATCAGATGGTCAAAGAAAACGCACACTTCATGACTTCATGCTTAGTAATTCAGATAACTTGTTTCTGGAGGGTTGATGGTGCCCAGCTTCATGTTTCTTCCTCAGCTTCAATTTTCGGATGCCTTTCCAGCTGGAGGATACGAGCGGAGGCTGAGACATGTTGGAGTGAACGCCAGGAGAGCTTGGGTCCTTTCCTGCGAACTGCAAGCCCTGTACAGTGCAACTCGTAGGCGCGAAAAAGGCGGCGCAGAACATGCGGGAGGGGAATGCGGGGATTGGTTTGGCTCTCCGGAAGGAAACCCTGTGTCAGCCTACATGATGTGACCTTTTCAAACATGATGAGGCTTGCTCAAGGCCATGAACTTCTCCCATCCTTACGCACGACTTACGCGCGACTGACTCTGCTCCGTGGATGACCCAGTGCATACTTTGAAGCACAAGGACGGTCGAGGAAACCGCTTTGGCTTGACCGGTGTAACTGTAACAACCCCTGAAAAATCGCTGGAAAGATGATGGGACGTGAACATTGATGTTCGATATGATGCGAATGAGAACAACACAAGCTTCTGATCCTTGTTTTGTTCTCTTCTATATTTGGTGAGAATTCTAGCGTTTTCCTTGGAATCAATTAGTTTGAAGCATCTTTTTACTCGAGAGGAACTGCTGACAGGTGAACTGGAGCCGAGTCCCACACAGGAGAAGGCAGGGTCCCCAGTTGCTTTTGCCATTGTCGGAGGTGAAGAATGTCAAGAAGTGCCTCTTTTGCGAATGTTGCTTTGTTCTTTGACTTGTTGCAGTACGTTACTTGATACCGATTTCCGGCTTTCCATCGGCAAGCTGTCCACCCACTGCGGAGGTTCAAAGCGGAACAGGTTCGGAAACAGGTTCGATAGAGGCCCTAAAGAATGTCTCGGGATATCCAGGATCAATGGAATTGACATAATACAGTATTTTACAAAACCCAGCATAATTAGAGTATTTAGCCCTCTTGCATGATCTTGTATGTAACCTCTACCAGCATGTACATGGTACCGTAATGTACCGTACTTGTATGTATTTAATATATGCATCTATGCAAGATGGTCATTGATTGTCCCCCCTTTTCAGCCAATTCGTTGGTTGCCCGTGCACGGCCGGCTCAACGGGTTTCTCCACGTTCCCCAAAACCGCCCGAACGTCCGACGGGGAGGTGCCACCTGCACCAGCTCGGCGCAGCGAGCGCAGCGAGGGTCCAGGTCGGGGGTCCAAGCGGGGTTCCACGGGACGGGACGGCTTCGCCCTCGTGCGGGAGTTCCTTCGCAGTCTCGTTGAGTCGTTCGTTTTTTTTTTCCGCATCTGTCGGGGAGGCCCATGTCTATGATGCAGAAACGGGAGATATTTCGAGTTCGACCCATGTCTATGATATATCATGGTCTTCATTTTTTCCGAACTTCCAGGATCGGTCCGGAAGTCCAGGAATTTCTTCCTGGGGCCAACCATCCACCCACAACGAGAGGTATTGGCGAGAGAGAGGTAGGTGGCGTGTGCTTTTGTGTCCTGTGTGATGTCATCAGATGATGCCCAGCAGGTCAAAGACCCCATTTTACTGAAGTTGATAATACAGGAACACTAACTCAATGAGGTCAAGGACTAGGTCTGACTATGTCTGGCTGGACCTGTCGGGATGGAATAAGGACTCGGAGGGTCTGGCAGCTGAACTCTTCCAGTCATGACGTTGACAGCCGAACTCTTTGTGTCCGTGGGATCATGCAACCTTGATTCACAGGTGGATCATGGACACAGTTCCTTTTTCGGTTTAAGTCTTCCAACAACTTTGCTGATGCAAGTTGTTGCAACGACAGATGATTGCTTCTGGCTCAACAACCGGCTGAGAGAGGCTGTTGGTTGTTGGGGTGTTTGTCAGGTGCCGAAGACGCTCCTACAGAGACTCCCCTGGAGGTGGGTGGGACTGTCAGGGTCTGGCGCAAAGGAAGCGTCCTTTGAACTAGGAAGCGGTTGTTTGTTTCAAGCTTCTAGGTCAGAATCACTCAGAAAGGGAAACCAACTAAGTCGCCCACGCCTAGTCACACAAGGCTCCCAGTTGGACCTATTTCACCTGGTGTCGACAGGACATGAGTTGGGAGACGGCCCTGACATGCTTCTACGAAGCCATGGAGGAGTTCCTTCGTGAGTATAAGGACACCCGATGGGACGCCCGAAGGATTCGGTGAGCTGGTTGGGCCGGCGGAATAGAGCTTTCAAGTTCCAAACATGCGCGTTCAGCCGGCGTGCCTTTGTGGGCCATGGAGCGATTTAATTGAAGGACTAGGACACCTCTATAGAATGTTGATGAATAACACCCCCATCTGATTGTAAACCCCTCCAGTCCTGTGGGGTTTTCATACAATCAACTCGTAACACCTTCGCACATTTGCCCATGCCCACCTTGCTGGCTACCCCGCGTCACTCTGAAAGAGTCATTTTGGCAATTCTGTTTTTCTGGGTGACCCTCACCAGAGAGAGCTGCAGGGAAAGATAGCCACTCAGAAAATATTATGAATTTCTTTTACATCCCTTTACGATATGTTATTTCAAGAATCATACAATTAGTAGTCATTCGCAAGGTCTCTTTCTTTAGATGGCAAGGTCTCTATCTCTTGTTTTTTGCAACGAATCTTTGGAGTGCTGTCCCGATGGCAGGAACTGTCCCTGAAATCCACCTTTCTGGAGTGCCTCGGCGGACGTATGGGCGGACGTATTCTCCAACAAGACGTCCTTCTTAGATTCGGCAAAATGCGCCATAATCCTGGGACATGCGCCACTTATAGCAGGTCAAGGCAAAGATATCTCCCTGAAATTAGGGCTTTTCAAACCTGCGTTCATGAGTCACATGTGTCATCATGATACCCCCAAGAACCCAGCAAAACCTGCTGAATACCCAAGGCCGAAAGAACATCATTCAAACCCAGCACCACCGGACAGGTCCGGTGGTTGATAGACCCCCTGCATCAGCAAGGTGTGTTTCTTGGCGGGGTGTGTCAGGGCCTTGCCTTTTCTGGTCGTGCCCTTCAAGTGCAGGTTCCCAAACGAGTTTATCCGTTAAGTTTTGCAACTTTAGAACAGAACCAGAGAAACAAACCATACCCCTGAGCAATGCACCTCTTCAGCTTTGTTGGCCTTTGATTTTCGTGACCGCTCACCCTTCAACCAGTGCGCTGGTGGTGTTCTCTTCGTTCGCTCTGCCGATCCACGCCACGCCCCGTGGAACGAACGTCCGGGTCGCGAACGGCTCGGCCCGGTCTGCGGCTCGGCCCGTGTTTGAGGCCGCTGAACTTCTATTGTGCAGTGAGGGGTCTTCCTCCAGCCTCCCAGGAGGAGGCGAGCGGTTTCGCCTCTGAAGCCGTTCCTTTGGCCCGGGTCGGGTCGGGTCGTTGGTTCGTCGGGTGGAACGAGAGATCGGAAAGGTCAACCATTATGAGTTAGGTGTGGGAGTTTGATGTGTCATGTTTCCCGGAGTGGTTGGGAGACGCATCCCAAAAAACATGCATCAAACACAAATGCATCAACAAAAACACATAAAAAGAAACAAAGAAAGGAAGAAAGGAAGGCATGAAGGAAGGAAGGAAAGAAGGAAGGAAGGAAGGACGGACGGAAGGAATGAAGAGAGGAAGGCAGGATGGAAGGAAGAAAGGAAGGAGGGCAGGAAGGAAGGTTGGCTCTCGGATGCTCTCGGTGGCTTTGGGCTTTTGGTGGCTTTTGGGTTTTGGTGGCTTTGGCTTTCGATGGCTTTTGGCTTTTGGTGGCTTTTGTTGGCTTTTGGTGGCTTGGGTTGGCTTCTGTTGGCTTTTCGTGGCTTCATTTTCAGACTTGGACCCACCAGATTGAGGTCTTTCCTAACAGTTGGGACACCGTACCTACACCTCCTCCCAAACAGCTACAAATCATCTTTGGCCCGCCCGAGTTCCCAGTGGTGTGTCTCTTTGTTGGCCGTCTTTCTCAATGCGACATGCCCATGAGAGAATGCGGTCTACTACGAGAGAAGCAGCTCGTGGGTGTGCTACCGTTATTCGAGTTGAAGACTGCGCAGATTCTGCTCATTGAAAACACCCTCACGCTGAAAGATTTACAGCTTGTCGTTCCACGGAAACCAGGTCTGGCTCGCCTCTGCGTTCTGCTTTTGCGGGAGATTCTCAACACTCGGTGTGGTAAGCGCAAGCTTCGGGAGTTCGCGTACCGAGGTGGGTACGCCTTGCCGCTCATCTTGCTAGGTGACAAAAAAGGCTTTGCCTTGCGGCAGTCTGCCATTCACGATCCAATCTTCCACGTTGTCCAGATGCAGACGGATTGCAACGGCTCTGATTGGGCACCATGGGGGCGGAACACTTACCATGAGCTCCTCGCTGCTGCGCAGATTCGGTGCGGCGCCGCATGGTCGGAAAAGAATGCTTCCGCATCTGTATAACCTTCATTTGCAGCTGCGTGCTTGCATTTGCTCTTCCTTACCTCGATCTCCCGCATCTCAAGTTGATGTGTCTTGTGTTTCCTGTCGCTGATTGCGAATCGCGCTCAGGTGCCTGATGGTCATTGTTCTTAGAGGCCTGGCTTGCGTTGTCGGAAGGAAAAGGTGAGAGACAAGAACTAGCCAGGACAAAAAGACACTGCCTGGAACGAAGACATAAAGAAAGTGAGATCGCACAACGATTGAAGATACAAAGATAAATCATCATTCAGAGATTCAGAAATCCAAAAACCCGAGGTCGTGGCATTCCTGCTCGAGAAGAGTATGTCCCACTTCCTGTGCTGTGGCTGTGGTGCCTTGGCTGCAAAGTAAGAGCAAGAGAAAACAAATGAAAATAACAACAGCGATGCACGATACAAAAGAAAGAACTTGGGTTTGCCTCATGGGCAGCAGCTAATGGCCACTCGTGTTTTGGCAGTGTGCCTTGACTCAAACATTGGCTGGATGGATTTCTGTGCGCACTGCAGCTGTTTGAAGCTTCGCATCTTGAACTTGACAACATTGTTTTTGATCCGGCGTTGGGAAAATCTTGG